GTATTTATTTGTGTGTCCTGGGGCCCCCTCCTTACCCGCCTGGGAGGCCTGGGCTGCCTGCTCGCTCCTCCCAGGAGCTCGCCAGCGCGTCTCCTCCCCGGCGGCGCCGCGGCCCTCAGCGGCCGCGGGAGCGAGATGGCGGGCCGCACCCTCCCGACCCCAGGGGCCCACCTGCTAAGCTCAAGCAATGTCGAAGCGTCCCAGCTCGCCTGTAGGCCCACCAATGAATGTTCGAGTAACCTGTTGCGGTCTGCACGAACTGTTCCTAGGCCATTTCTGGCCGAGACTGTCTTGTTTGAGCACATCGGGTTCATGTTCTAAGAACACTGTTTTGTTCTTAGGACATTTGTTGGGTTCTGAGAACATTCCGTGGTAGGCCTGTAGGAATGCCGGGACGGTCGGTCCCTGCTCAAGTTTTGGGGTTCTCGTGGGCCGCTTTCGTCTCGCCCTTGTCTTGCAGCAGAGGCGGATTGAAGACAAAGCGCGGGAGAACGAAGGCAGCACGAACACGACAAGTGCTGTTTCGACCGCACCCTCCCGACCCCAGTCCCCAGGTCGGGCCAGACGAAAGGGGGGAATCGGGAAAGGGGGCGTTGCGAAATCTGCTGCGTGCAGCTGGTTTCGGCCCAACCCAGGGGCCCGTTCCTCGATGCATGGCCGCCTCCGGCGCCCGGAGGCGCTGGGAGAATGAGCTGCGTGAGCTGATTCTCAACGCCCCCCCTTTGCTATCCCCCCCTTTCACCCGACCCGATCGAGCCAGGCATAGTTCATCCAAGATGGGGTCGGAGGGTCGCGCCGCATCGCCGATGCATCGCCGGTGCGAGTCGATGTGCAGCCCGATGTTGTCCACGCAGACGGCGCCGTTGCCCGGCCCGACCAGGGCCGGCTTCTCATCGCATCGCATGGCCAGCGGCAGGAGCGCTGTCTGAACCACCACAGGGCGCCTTCGCTCCCGAGCGGCGAGCCCGACCGCATCCGCGCGCGCCCTCGCGACGAGGGGGGGGCGGCGCGAGGGGGGCGGCCCTCCCAAGGAGGCGGCGGGGCTTCTGAGAGGGCAGGGGGGCCTAGAAGCCCTCCCAGATCTTCTCCTCCTCCTCCTCCTCTTCCTCCTCTTCCTCCTCCTCCTCCTCCTCCTCGTCCTCCTCCTCCTCCATTTTGGCTCAAGCATTTGGCTTGAGCTGGCCACGGTGGCGTTTGCTCCTGCATTCGTTATTCTTGCATGCGTACTTTCCTTCTTTCCGGCAATGGCACGGCGTGCCATCAAGACTCTGTTTAACGAGATTCATCTGCTTAAACTCGAGATCAGACAGCTACATAAGCAGAAACAGAAACCTCAGCTTTCTCTGGACGTGCTGATCCCACGGGTAGACAAATGGCATGATGATATTCAGCAGCGTAACGATGAACAACAGCGTGAGGGCCATCCACTTCACCACCTACAGCGTGAGGATGATCAACAGCGTGTGGAAGATCAACTGCATCAGGATGATCAGCAGCGCAATGATGATCTACAGCGAGAGGACGATCTACAGCGTGTAGAAGATCAACCCCATAATGACGATCAACAGCGAGGGGATCCTCAACTGCGTGTGGGTGATCAACAGCGTGAGGGCGTACAACTTCGTGAGGACGATCAACAGCGTGTGGGTGATCAGCAGCGCGAGGATGATCGACAACGAGAGGACGATCAACAGCGAGTGGACGATCAACAGCGAGATGATGATCAACAGCGTGTGGATGATCAGCAGCGAGAGGGCGCTCAACAGCGAGAGGATGGCCTACTGCGTGTGGGTGATCAGCAGCGAGTGGGCGATCAACAGCGACAGGATCATCAACCGCGTGTGGACGATCAACAGCGTGAGGACGAACAACAGCGTGAGAAGGATCAACAGCGCAAGGCCGATCAACACGGAGAGGACGATCAGCATCGTCCGAGTGACGTACATCGGCCAGGCGAGCAGCAGCGTGAGGACGAGCAGCAGCGAGGGGATGTGCAACAACGTGTGGACGATCAACAGGGCGAGGGCGATCAACAGGGTGAGGGCGATCCACAGGGTGAGGGCGATCAACAGGAGGATGTCGAGAGGTATAAAGATTTTGTCTACAAGATGAGTGCGACAGTCTGCTATGATGAATGGTGGTGCGATAGGTCTTCGATATCTGGAACGCTTTGGGAGCTGGGGCTCGTCTTCTCTGAGATTCGCTTGCAGACCGTCCTGGACAGCTACGAGGCACAGGGGCTGCCTATGACTGACCTCGCAGAGGTGGCGGCAGCTGCTGGACTCTTTCCGAAAGAACATGTTGCATGGATTCGTCGCGCCGGACATGATCTGAGAGCTGCTTGTAGTGAGTGATCTGGTTGGGCAGGGCTTGCATGTGTCTGAGTTGGTTTAGTTTCGTGCTGGTCGACCTCGACTTTTACAGCACGCCACCACCACCACCTCCTCCTCCTCCTCGTCCTCCTCCTCCTCCTCCTCCTCCTCCTCGGTCTGTCGGTCTGTCGATAAGGGTTCGAAGGAGCCTTCTCAGAGGCTTCGGGGGCCTTCTGAGGAGGGGCCCCTGCCATTCTGGGAGGCTCCTCCGTCCTGTCTTCTTAGAAGGCCGCCCCCCTGACTCCTCCTCCTCCTCGTCCTCCTCCTCCTCGTCCTCCTCCCTCCTCCTCCTCCTCCTCCTCCTCCTCCTCCTCCTCCTCCTCCTCGGTCTGTCGGTCTGTCGATAAGGGTTCGAAGGAGCCTTCTCAGAGGCCTCGGGGGCCTTCTGAGGAGGGGCCCCTGCCATTCTGGGAGGCTCCTCCGTCCTGTCTTTCTAGTAGGCCGCCCCCCTGACGCCGGTCCCTTGTGGGTGCCGCCTGCAACTCGCACCCAGACCCTCCCCAGACAGCCTCGCGCCGTGGGAGAAGTCTGGGGCCCCGGGGCCACCAACCACGGATCTGGCAGGATTCTGTAGCCCGGGGACGTGGCCGGGACTTCGGAGGCCGCGGATTGAACACATCAGATCGGCGGATGTCAGGGCGGGAGGTTGTAGATTTCAGTCGGGCGTGCCTCTCTACAGGAGGAATGTTCAAACATAGTCAGACAACAGTCTGGGGACGTTTTCCGGTGTTTTTTTATTAGAATGCTTTGACTATTGTCAGTGCTCTTCCAAGATCCGCCTGTAGGAGGACCAATTGTAGGCCATTCCAGGCTTCCAGGGGTCCTCGCCAGGCGCCGGGGCCATCGATAGACTTAGGATGAGAAGCCGACCCCGGTGAAGGGGTCCGTGCGTCCAGACTGGTGAGGAGCCAGGCTGTGACAAAATCACGCACCCATCGGCTGCACGTAATTAAGAGTGCTCCCCTTCGCCAGGGTGACCTCTGGGAAGGGCCCGCCTGGGGCCCCCAATCGCCAGCTGCGATGCGACAGCACCATCTCGCCCGCCTGGGTTTGCTCCCTCCCTGAACCCTTGAATAGATTCCTGGGCCAGGTGCCCTGTCTTTCTATAGAGGTGCTCGCAGGGACCTGACGACTTTACTTTCTGGTCGCCGGTGCAACGTTGGAGGTGTCGGCGCGACGCCCCTGGCGGCCAGATGATCCCAGACAGACGTTGCAGATGGAACAAGGAAGTGGCACGCCTTCCGAGCGCCCTGCGCCCCGACCCTATAGACGTGGCCCCCCCAAGCATACTCAACTCCCCCCCCTGGCCCCCCACCCCCTTAAAGGCTGCGCGCCAGATCACTCTTGCTTACAGTGCCGTTTTTAATACTTGCTCCGCCTGCGGATCATGTATTAAACATGCAGGGATTTAGTATTAAAAACAACGACGAGTTCATGCATACATTTATTCACACATTGATCATGTATTACAAGTCCTACATTTTCAAAAATCCCATGCATTTAAACACTGCCCTGTACTTAGGGCCACTCTTGCGTGCAGTCGATGCCTCCAGGGGGATCTGGTCTTCGGGCCGGCTCCTCCGGACAGGTCGGGGAGAGCTTCCTCGCGGCCGAGGCCAGAACTCTGAGCCGGGGATCGACTGCCGAATGGATTTGCCCCGGAGTTGGTTTTCTCGTGAAGTCCATGAACATGCGCAGGGTGCGGCGCAGATCTACGAACATGAGCAGACCAGTTTTGGGGGTGAATCGATTATGTAGTCGATCCCCTACTCGAGAAATGCCCCTTCGTTCCTGATGCAGCGCTTCTTCTGGTAGCACGATGCGTGTACAGCCGAACCCAGATCTCCAGAGGCTAGACGGTCGACGGCCTAGCTTTCTGGGTGTCCCTCTTTTTTTCGTTCTGGGTCCTCCTTGGGCACGCGCTTGTCGTCGTCGCCGCCATCGCCATCTCCATCGCCGCCGTCGTCGCCGTCGTCGTTGTCGCCGCCGCTGTGGTGGCTGTCGCCGTTGGCGTCGCCGTGGTTCTCGTCGCTGTCGTCGTTGGTGTCGTTGTTCTCGTTCTCGTCGTCGTCGTCGCCGTCGCCGCGAAAGGCAATATCTTCGGTCGTCGTCGCCGTACGTCGCCGTCGTCGTCGATACCCTCGCCGTCACCGCCGCCGCCATTGCCGCTGCCGCCGCCGCCGCCGCCGCCGCCGCCGCCGCCGCCGTCGTCGTCGTCGTCGTCGTCGTCGTCGTCGTCGTCGTCGTCGTCGTCGTCGTCGTCGTCGTCGTCCTCGTCCTCGTCCTCGTCCTCGTCCTCGTCCTCGTCCTCGTCCTCGTCCTCGTCCTCGTCCGTGTCCTCGTCCGTGTCCTCGTCCTCGTCCTCGTCCTCGTCCTCGCTGGTGGCCCCAGCAGGCCAAGGCGCCGGCCCCCGCCGCCCGCGCCGCGCCGGCGGAGCCAGAGAGGCCGCTGCCGAAGGCACGGCGCCGCCGCGCCTTCGACTGGGATGGGCGCGGCGGTTTCTCAGTCCCAGGGGCTCTTGTGAGGGTCGGGGACGACGTCAGGGTGGTTCGGGGGCGGAAAAGAGGGGGGTGATGACCAGGGGGGGGTGGATATCTTGGCGCGGGCCATGGTATCTCCGCAGATTTCATGGCGCCTCTTCTTATTGCGAAGGCCTGACGGCCGGTGCCGCCGACCCTGTTCGCAATGCGCAGCAAGAGATTACGAGGTTGCTCAAGGTCGGCTTGGCTGGAGCCCAGGGGAAGAGGAGTCCCAGGGGGGGGCGTCGTATCTGACCCGGGGGGGGGGGTCGCTACCCCCCCCCCCCTCCCGGCGGGGGAGGGATCAAAGGGAAGGGGCTTCCCTTCGACTCAATTACGAGGTTGCTCAAGGTCGGCTTGGCTGGAGCCCAGGGGAAGAGGAGTCCCAGGGGGGGGCGTCGTATCTGACCCGGGGGGGGGGTCGACACCCCCCCCCCCCCTCCCGGCGGGGGAGGGATCAAAGGGAAGGGGCTTCCCTTCGACTCAATTACGAGGTTGCTCAAGGTCGGCTTGGCTGGAGCCCAGGGGAAGAGGAGTCCCAGGGGGGGGCGTCGTATCTGACCCGGGGGGGGTCGCTACCCCCCCCTCCCGGCGGGGGAGGGATCAAAGGAAGGGGCTTCCCTTCCCGAGGTTGCTCAAGGTCGGCTTGGCTGGAGCCCAGGGGAAGAGGGTCCCAGGGGGGGGCGGTATCTGACCCGGGGGGGGGGTCGACACCCCCCCCCCCTCCCGGCGGGGGAGGGATCAAAGGGAAGGGGCTTCCCTTCGCTCAACTCAGGATTACGACAGGTTGCTCAAGGTCGGCTTGGCTGGAGCCCAGGGGAAGAGGAGTCCCAGGGGGGGGCGTCGTATCTGACCCGGGGGGGGGGTCGACACCCCCCCCCCCCTCCCGGCGGGGGAGGGATCAAAGGGAAGGGGCTTCCCTTCGACTCAATTACGAGGTTGCTCAAGGTCGGCTTGGCTGGAGCCCAGGGGAAGAGGAGTCCCAGGGGGGGGCGTCGTATCTGACCCGGGGGGGGGTCGACACCCCCCCCCCCCTCCCGGCGGGGGAGGGATCAAAGGGAAGGGGCTTCCCTTCGACTCAATTACGAGGTTGCTCAAGGTCGGCTTGGCTGGAGCCCAGGGGAAGAGGAGTCCCAGGGGGGGGCGTCGTATCTGACCCGGGGGGGGGGTCGACACCCCCCCCCCCTCCCGGCGGGGGAGGGATCAAAGGGAAGGGGCTTCCCTTCGACTCAATTACGAGGTTGCTCAAGGTCGGCTTGGCTGGAGCCCAGGGGTTGCTCAAGGTCGGCTTGGCTGGAGCCCAGGGGAAGAGGAGTCCCAGGGGGGGGCGTCGTATCTGACCCGGGGGGGGGGTCGCTACCCCCCCCCCCCTCCCGGCGGGGGAGGGATCAAAGGGAAGGGGCTTCCCTTCGACTCAATTACGAGGTTGCTCAAGGTCGGCTTGGCTGGAGCCCAGGGGAAGAGGTCTCCCAGGGAAAGGGAAGGACAGAGACGACGAGTACAAAGAATGACGGAGATGACGGCTCGAACGGAAAAGCCCCTCACACACGCCGACAGGGTCGGCGGATTTCATTACGTCCCTGGCCCCCCCGCTGGGCCGCGCACATGCCGCCGCTCTTGGACACCCCCCTCTTGGCCGCTCCCGAGTGGTGTGGTGTCTGTTTTTTGTTTCCGTTTTCGGTGGGGAACCACACATGTATACACCAGGATCCGCTTTCCTGTGCAAGTGTCAGCACAGTGCCGGAAACAGCGTCGGTGCATAGAGCTTGTGTCCCCCAAAGAGGGCTAAACCAGCTTCTGATTGGAGCTGGCTGGGGGTCTGAGGTGGCCCAGAACTGGTGCTAGCCAGCAGGAAGGACGCCTCCCGAATGGGGTCCGAGCAGACGGGTTGGAAGGTCGCGCCGCATCGCCGATGCATCAGCGATGCGGCTCGATATGGAGCCCAATGGTCTCCACGCCGACGGCGCTGATGCGTCGGCGATGCATCGGTGATGCGGCGCGATCCTCCGAGCCATCTACTCGGACCCCATTTAGCAGGCTTCAGAAAAAGGCGTGCACACTTCTTTTGCCCGTTGCAATTCTGGTGCAAGAGGTTCTTTCGGCGCCCAGCTGCTGCAGCTCGAGTGCGCTTGGCAGCCCCCCCCGTCGGTCTGCAGCCCGTGCTCTGTTCCGTCAGTGGCTCTGCGCCGCTTCAACCAGGGCGGCAAGAAGCATAATGAACTCAGCGAGTAGCAGAAACACTTGCTCTGGCGGGCCTACCTCCGCATGGTGAGCAAGGGTGCTCTTGTGCACGCCTTTGTAGGTGCATTCTTCTCTACTCTGTCAAGTGGTACAGTTTGGTGAGTTCTGAGAGGTTCTGCAGGGATGTCGAGCGCGACCAACAGGTCCACACACACACACACACTACTTGTAACGCTCCTGGCCCAGGTGCTCCATGGCGGTCTTGGGCATCTATCTCAGCCATCCGCTGCCGAAATCAGGCCGGCATAGTTTTCCCCGACTCCAGCAGTGAGAGCCATTCGGTTGCGGCGCAAATGGCACGCGTGCAGTTCGCAGTGCAATCCTCACGAAGTTCGCATCGGCATGCTGAACGTACATGCGATGTCGCGGGGCACCAGCGAGAACAGGTCAAAGTTGGCACACATCATGGAGAAGCTTACGATCGAAATGTCATACCTTTTTCATCTGCGATGTTGCGAGCCCGACTATGTTGCACCAAGATGATGTTCGCCTCTTATCATGGGAGAGCAGGAGTGCACAACGCCCGTGAGCGGCAAGGTCGCTATGATCGTATCGCGGTTCATGCGGCAGAAGTGAACAGGCTGGATCCGTCCCTTCTTCGGCACCCGACTCAGACAAATGGTTGGGCTTGGAAGTGAGATGGAGAGGTCTCAACGGCATGCTGATATCACAATACGCTCCCACGCAGAAACCAGCTGGCTGGCGAGAGCGACGAACTCAACGTCTCGGGACGGGCACTCTTCTTATTGGGGATTCGAGACAGGCAGGGGGGCAATGATATCCTCGGCGGCGACTTCATGTCCTACCTCGGCGAAGCCGGGAGGGGAGACGGCTTCATGGACAGGTTCACCGTGGTGCCGTTCACCCACGCCCCGCGCAGGGCCGGGCTTTGCCCGCACATGGGTGCCTGTTTGCCTGCCTGCCTGGAGAACAGGAGGGACCTGCACGTGTGGGTTCGGGCCTGCAGCTCCCCCATCGGGGAGCGCTGTATCACTACATGGCGAAGCAGTGGTACGCATTCGATCGTGTTTTTTTTTGCGATGCCGTCACGGTGGCGGCGGCCAACAGCTGCAGAGTTTGCCATGCGCGAGCATTGCGGACAGTTTCTTTTGCCCGTGCCTTTCGGACGGGCGAAGAAGTACAAGCTACACCACCTACGAAACCTACGGGGCCAGCTCCAAAACTACCTTTACGCTGGGCGTCGGCACGGAGGACAAGCGACGAGGCGGTGGCCTTTCAGTCAAAGCGCCAGCAGCATTTTGTATATTCTCGGTTGAACGAGGCGGACACTACTGGAGAGATGCGTCAATCGTTCTCACTGCAGCAGCAGAAGCTGTATGTGGACGAGGACATCGATTATGTGGCAAAACATGAAATGACCGAGTGCAAGCCAGATGTTTTGACCAGCGAACAGAGGGTGGCCAACAGTTACTCAGAGTATTGTGCAGCGCGTGTTGCCCCCGCAAAGCGGCCAACACTTGTACAGTATCGCGCCATCAAGAAATAAGACACGACAGGTGGATCGGGACTTGAAAGGTAAGGCGATGGGCGACCCATGCCAGCAGCCCGAGTGGGCGGTCACCAGTCACGGGATGGGACGCTATTCTTATTCACTGTGATGGAATTGGGTGTTATATGGGCTACCATTGGGCAGAGAACGTGGATCAGACCAGACCAGAGGACTGCAAGACATTTCGAGAGCATTGGTGGCGCCGTAGCAGTTCCAGTGGCGGACGTGTCCAGCATCTCGCCCTAACGGGACATATGCTCCGATTTGAACAGTTTACCCAGTTCCGAGGGGTTCCAGGATGCCATCATAAACAAAGGCGAAGATCCCATCGACATGGTCAGAATGGCGCCGAACCCCAGTGGGGCGATTCATTTCACGCAGCAGTAGTTTTCATCTTGTACAAGAAAGGGGTCGCGGCAGGATTGGCAAAACTTGGACAGCTATCGCGGGATGTGTCTGTTGGGTGCGACCGCAAGGACATCGGCAGGACTGGTGATCGCAGGAGTAGAGCGTTGTTTCGGGAGTCTGTCTTTCCTCGAACAGGAGCAGTGGGGATTCCGATGTCGGCGATCAACGAGGAGCGTGGCTGTCATTGCCAAGATTGCCCGCGAATTGCATGCAGATTTGGGCAGACATTGGTTTGCTCGGCGCGCGGCGTCTCAGAGAGAAAATACATGGGAACAGCTCGCGCAGGCTTGGGGGACAGCGCGCCGGCAGTTCCAGAGACAAATGAAGCTGTATTTGTCTTTGTGGACATCAAGAGGGCTCGCCCAAGCGCCCCATGGACGACCCATGCGGCGTCGTGCGCTCAAGAAGACAGGTTTGCCATCCACTTGTTTCTTAGCCGACGGCTTCGCGGCGAAGCCTCGTGCGAGTCCGATCTGGACTTGTTGTGGCGCGGCCTGCGCGAGGGTGTGCCAGTCGCTGTGCTTGGCCGAAGTGCCGCCTTATCTCGGGTGCTTTCGCAGGCGAGGGGCCGAGTGGAGGGGCGGCGCGGCCGCCGGCGAGGGGGCGCTGAAGGTGGCGGGCTTTTGAGGGCGACGCATCGACACTGAATGCTGCGCCGCCATTCGAGGCCATGGCGAACCGTGTTCGGCAAGTTTTCGAGATCGAGAGGGGCGGGGTGCGCCCGGGCAACGGCGGGCATCTGAGAGCTGGGTTGCGCGACGCCAGCCGGGCGCTCACTCGAGGGTTTCACCATGCAGTGCGCGTGTTCCGTGGGTGGGTGGGCTCCGGGGGCGCGGGGGGTAGATGCGCCGAAACGGATTCAGGCTTCTGCGAGGGCGCGGGTAAACTTTCGACGCCAACCCGGGGCTGCGAGCCTCCCACTTCGCATCCGAGGTAATATCTTCCAGGCGTCTGTGGTGGGGTGACCCTTTGCGCGGGGCGGAGGCCTGGGCCTTCGCGTGCCGCGATCTCGATCGATGTCAGATCTGTGTAGGCCGATGTAGCTCATGCCTCGCATGCCGGTCGATGGGGGGCGACCTCAATGATAATGCAATGCAGGAGAGGACATCAACGTGGGCGCCATGCGTCGACGGTGTGGGCCGGACTTGATAGAGATCCAGGTGATATCCCAAGCTCTTTCGCATGTGCGCCATCTTGGGCAGTATCCGCAGGATCGATGGGAGGTTGGATTGATAGGGGCCGGGGAGTCCGCCCTGGAGCCTCCGCGGCCGACGGCGAACGCCTGGGCTTCAGATTGCGGTGTTGGAAGCAGACGCGCATTACTATGCGGCTCAGCTCCGGGCCAGAGCCTCAGCAGTACCAGCGGCGGATGCTGACTGCCCGGGGGCAGGATGGCCAGACTTGGCGCGAGCTCTGCCGCGAGGTCGCAGCAGATCTTCGAGGGCGGGCGCAGCCAGCGAAAACTGGCCGACTTAGTTGCCGCGCGACGTTATGATTCTGCCCTGGCCCCGCCGCCCCTCTTCAGCGGTTTTTTGCGCGAAGACGGCAACAGGGGGGGCGAGTGGAATCTGGCCGATGCGAGGCGACGGCTCGCGACGAAGACGATTCTGACGCCGCCTTCCACGTTTGCGATTTCGAGGTCCGCGGGCTCCGCGCAAATTCCAGGGCCCCCCCCCCAGTGGGCCCCCGCTACGCCTCGCCGCGAACATTGGCGAGCTCTAGCCCCTAGGGGGACCGAGAGCGAGACGGGGTGCAGTTTCGCGTGCAAGCGCCGTGGGCAACTAGCGAGCCGCGCGAACCGCATCTACGATGGCGCGAAGGGCCCCCGGGGCCGCGTGGCGACAAGAGTAGGTCAGCGTAGCCATCTTCGAGATAAGAAATTTACCGCCGATGCGCAAGTCTCGCAAAGTCACGCTTCTCGACCAGTGCCATTTCTCGAAGCATGTCAATTCGCGTCAGTGCAAGCGTATTTTGAGCAACCTTCCCGCGCGGCTCTCTGGCTCAATGGGGCTTATTCGCGATGCTGCAGCGCTTGCTCGTGAAGTGCTGGGGTCGCTCGCCGAAGCCGAGGCCCGCGGCTCCCGTGGAGCTGATGGGCCAGCAGAGCCCGCCAGGGGGGCCAGAGGTAATGGCCCCGCTCCGAAGGGCGCCATCGCGTCGACGGTCGTCGACGAGCTCGCCACCGCAGTCGTCTATCGCGGCGGGCGCGCGGCCACTTTGGAGATCAGGGCTTCGTTCGCACGCGCGCTCAGAGATGGCGCGGCGCAGATGGGGTCGGAGCAAGCTACGCGCCTCGCGGGGCAGAAGGGGGGGGCGCGAGGGCGAGTTCTCATGGGCCAAGGGCGAGGATATGTCCGGCGCCGGGCTCGCCCCGCGCCCCGCGGGCAGTGGTCTGCGCTCGGTTTTGATGTGCGAGGCCATGGTGGAGCAGCTTGCCCGCTCGCTGAGCGGGGCGCCGCCGGGGGCCGACGAAAAGCCCCTCGACTTCGTCGAGGGTTTGGGTGTCCAGGCCGAGCCGCCCAGGTCGTTTAGAGCCCTGGGTAAGCAGATGTTTCGAGCTAAGCCGAGGCGTCCGACATGGGGGGCGGGGCGCCCCCCGGGCGAGGCCTCTCCGCGGCGCCGGGGGCGAGCGCCCCGGAGTTAGCGACGGCTTCCCAGGCGACGTGCGCGATCGAATCCGAGCGTTTATTCTTCGCAGCTCAGCGCGCCATGAATGGTCCTCCTCTCAAGTGGCTGCTGGAGTTCTGGCTCGTCGCCGAGGGCGACGGCGGCGACGGGCTGCAGGGCGGCGAGCCGCGCCCGCGCGGGCCCGAGCGCGCCGATCTGAGCGGCCGAGCCCCAGACCTCCTCGGGGGCCGCGGGGCTCCGAGCCCAGGCCCCCTCGAGGACCGCCAGTTCTGCCGTCGCCCCCGCCGCGGCCCCGTGTTCGGCTGCCTCCGCGGCGGGGGCTCTGCCCTTCAGGCGCATGGGTTCCTCTTTCTAGATCTGTTCGGCGCGGGCGGCCCTGGCGAGATCTACTCGCGCGTCGAAGGCGGCCGCGCGCGCTCGGTTTCGAGCCAGCGACGGAGGCGATGCGGGATGTGATTTCGGACGTGGATGACGACGGGACGGGCGCGATCGGGTGCGAGGGTTTCTTGGGGATGATGGCGCGCGAGATCTTGGGCCAGGGGCGTGGTCGCGAAAGCGCTCAGGCTTTTCGACGACGTGGCTGGCAACGCCCCCGTAGGAGCCTGACTCGGGCGGCGAAGGAGCTGTGGGAGAGGATGGCGGAAAGGAGCTGCAGGAGATGATAGAAGAAGCGGGTCGCGACGGGCACGGTGATGTGGAAGCGCATTAGCCCGGCGAAGGACCCAACCATTGGCAGTTGTGAGCAGCGCAGTTGTGCGTGTCATCTTCGGTGGAGTTCCCCATGGGGCTGCGAAGCGCGGGGTGGGGGCGGGGGCGCGGCGGGGTGGGGTGGTGGTGGTGGTGGTGGTGGGGGGGGGGGGGCTTCAGTGGAGCTCCCTAGCGCGCCGCGGGCCGCGTGGGGGGCGCCCCGACGTGGGCGCGCGGTGGGCGGGGAGGGCGCGCGCGGACGCGGCCGCTGGGGCCTTCGGTGGAGTTCCTTATGGGGCCACGAGCCGTGCGAGGGGTGTGCCGACATGGGCATGCGGTGGGCGAGTAGGGCGCGCGCGGGCGCGGCCGCTGGGGCCTCCGGTGGACCTATGGGGCCGCGAACCGTGTGATGGGGTGTGCCGAAATGGGGGTTATGTGGGTGGGGTGGGGGTGGGTGGGTGGGTGGGTGGAAGGAAGGGGGGGGGGGGGGGGGGGGCGCGTGCAGACGCGGCCACTTGGGCCTTCGGTGGGCCTTTGGGGCCACGAAGCGCGTTGGGGGGTGCGCCGAAATGGGCGTGCGGTGGGCGGGGGGGGGCGCATGCGGACGCGGCCAGTGGGGCTTTCGGTGGAGTTCCCCCTGGGACCACGAAGCGTGTGAGGGGTGCGCCGAAATGAGCGTGCGGTTGGCGGGGGGTTGGTGTGGGTGGGTGGGTGGGGTGGGTGGGTGGTGGTGGGGTGGGGGGGGGGGGGGGGGGCGCATGCAGACGCGGCCGCTGGGGCCTTCGGTGGGCTTGCGGGGCCACGAAGCGCGTTGGAAGGTGTGCTGACATGGGCGTGCGGTGGGCGGGGAAGACGAATGTGGACGCGGCCAGCGGGGCCTTCGGTGGACAATGGGGCCACGCAACGTGTGAGGGATGTGGGCCGACATGGACATGCGGTGGGCGGGGGCGACGCATGCGGACGCGGCCGTTGGTGCTCTCGGTGGAGCTCCCTAGTGCGCCACGAACCTTGTGAGGGGTTTGCCGAAATTGGCATGCGTGGGGAGGGCGCATGCGGGCGCGGCCACTGGGGCCTTCGGTTGAGCCTTGGGGCCACGAGCCGTGTGAGACCTGTTGCCGAAATTGGCATGCTGTGGGCGGGGACGACGCATGCGGACGCGGCCAGTGGGGCTTTCGGTTGAGCCCCCCTTGGGGCCACGAGCCGTGTGAGAGGTGTGCCGAAATGGGCATGCGGTGGGCGGGGAGGACGCATGCGGCGGACGCGGCCGCTGGGGCCTTCGGTGGAGCTTCCCCTGGGGCCACGAACTGCGTGAGGGCTTTACCGAAACGGGCATGCGGTGGGCGGAGGGGACGCATGAGGACGCGGCCACTGGGGCCTTCGGTTGAGCTCCCCTTGGGGCCCCGAGCCGTGTGAGAGGTGTGCCGAAATGGGCATGCGGTGGGCGGGGAGGACGCATTGGGCGGACGCAACCACTGGGGCCTTCGGTGGAACTCCCCCTGGGGCCACGAACCATTTGAGAGGTGTGCCAACATGGCAGACTGGTTTGGAGGGCGGAGGCAGGGATCGGAAGAGAAGGGGAGGGAGGAACGGGAGGAGGAGGAGGAGGAGGAGGAGGAGGAGGAATAGGATGACTGAAAACGCGGGGCGCTGTTCCTCAAAACTAGGACCGAACACCACAAGATGGTTGGGAACCCGTTTTTTCTCATCAAGGCGAAAACCAGTCTGTGCCGAGTTGCCGGTCAAGAGGCGGCCCGTTCGCCGAGTAATCAAAGGGATTCCAGCCAGCATCGCCAGCATCGGGCCGCGATGCCGTCGTGGCATTGCCCTTTTTTTTCGTGCGGCTCCCCCGCTCGGGGGCCTCGGGTGCAGCTATGGCTTCTGTGACCGCCTGCGTGCGAACCCTGTTCAAACGCGGCCGCGGCCCCCGCAGCATTAAAGACAACTATCAGGAGGGAGTAATAATACAGACACAATTAATGGTCGATTCCCTGGAAGATATGCAAACTTATGGGCAGTGGGGGGAAGACACAAATTCCAAACATATGGAGACATATGGGGAATCCTGTTATTTGTGTGTACTTAGATGTGTGTCCCAGGGCCCCTTCAAACAACTTCGTGAGTCATTCATTCCAGGAGATCCGCGCGGACTTGCTGGGTCCGTCGCTGGGCCCCCTCTTCGGCGCCTCCGACGCCGCCGCTTGGCGCGCGGTAGGAGAGAAGTCCGGCGCCGACCCTGGAGCGCCGCGCCGACCTCTGACGGTTAAGGTTCATGTACAGTCGGGGCGTTGACCGAAGAAACGATGAATAAGGAACGAGGCCCTTTTTTCCCATAAGTTGAACTCCGATGTTCCATGGAAACAAAACCTCCGGAAAACCCAAGGACCACTAAGGAACACGGAGCCCCTCCCAAACGAAAAGGGTTCCTTCCTCAGCGGCCCGACTGTATGTTTTCTTCCTCCGAGGTATGCGTTGCTGCACCTCACAATGAGGAATGGCATGGGAGGATCAGTTGTTGTCTCCGCTCTCGGCCAAGCCATCTCGGATCGAGCCGGGGCGAAGCACGGGCCTGGTCGGAACCCGAGAAGGGGCCCACGGGCTGATTGTGTGCGGATGCCGATGCATGCGGGCAGGGCGTAAATGCCGATGCCAGTGCCCCTCCCTCGTCGGGCCTTTCCGTGGCCCCCGCGGCGCCGCGGCTGGCTCAGCAAACGTCCGGGGCGAGGCCCGGGACTGCGGCAGTCTGGCGCCGCGCCGAGTCGGCGGCGAGCCCAGCGCGGGCGTGGAGTGTGAATCGCTGCAAGTGGCCAGGAACCAGCCGATGTCTGACCTCGGCATCGCTCGGACGTGTGCATTTTTCCTTCGGCGAGGACCATGGAGGAGCATTCTTGATCATTTGGCACAAAAAATCCACGCACGAAACCGAACAAAGCGCATGGAATGGACGTCCGAGCGATGGCCAGTGACGATCTGCAGCACCTGGAAGGAACACTGTGCATCGGCGTGCTTTCCTTGAGCTCCGCGCGGGTGTCTCGGATCGGCGGTGGGCCCCTCCTGCAGATCCAAGGCCTCCGCGCGGAGCTGCGGCAGGAGGTGTTTGGCTGTGCGGGCTCTCTGCGTTGTCTCGGAGGTTGATCGACCTCCCACCCCGACACGTCGATTCAGGAATCGGCCGTTCTCGCTTCGCGAGGGGGCGCCGCGGCCGGCATTTTTTGCGGTCCAGGTCCGTCCGTTTCGGCCCTTGGGCAGTTTTTTTCATTGAAGGGAGGTTTACCAGAGGGAGGTTTGTCCGCCGCCGATTGCCTGATGTCCTACCAGCCTCGAACATATCTCTATCCCTGAGATTGACACGCCAAATGGCGATGACAATCTTAGGGATGCGCCCTCAAGAAATGAGGGAATCCCTGATATTGGCATCGTGATGAGGCGATGCCCAGCATAGGGATAGGCATATGTTCCAGGCCGGTAAATGTCGGAAGCGCGATATCGTTCCAGGTGGAGCGGTGCGCGGCGTCGCAGACAGACGCCGGCGTCATCGCCACCTGGGGCTTGCCGCACGGGGAGGGAGGAGGAGGCCGCAGAGGACCCAGGGTCGAGGAGGAGGACGCAGGACCCGGGACTCATCAGGGAGGGAGGGAGGAGGAGGGAGGAGGAGCAGAAGTAGGGAGGAGGGGGCTTGGCGCACGGGGAGGGAGGAGGAGGAGGAGGAGGAGGAGGAGGACGCAGGACCCAGGGAGGGAGGAGGAGGAGGACCCAGGGTCGCAGGCCTAGAGGTTGACACCAGCACCAAGTTCGGCGGTGTGCCTCCACAGAGGGGAGGTGGTCATCTTCTGGCTTCAAGGTGGCCGACGTATTACCACCAACACCGAAATGTAGGATCATCTTCCCACTGTGGAGGCAATCCCCTGTGTTGGTGTTGGTGCCCATTTCCAGGCCTCTAATATTATGTTTTTCGTACAATCTGAGCCTCCAAGAGCAGGAGGACGGGGAATTATACAAGGGAGGAAGCGAGGTATGGATGTTGCGGGAGGAGGCAGGATAAGGAGGCGGAGGAGAAGGGCTGGGAGGGGTCGGTGGAGGCGGAGGAGGAGGATGCCGAGGATTCCGCGGAGACCGATGAGGAGGAGGACCACGCCGACGACCACGACCACGATCATGACGACGACGATGACGACGTCGACGTCGACCGCGACGGCGACGGCGACGGCGACGACGACGACGACGATGCCTGGGACGGCGACGACGGCAGCGAGAACGGCGACGGCGGAGGCCACGTGGGACTCGCCCCCGCACTTGCAGCAAGAGGGGCACCGCGACTACGTGGACAAGACGAAGTGGAAGGTCCCCCAAGCGGGCTGGCCGCCTCGCGCCGCATGGCGGCTGCCCTCTGCCGTCGTGGCCGCCGCGGTCGTGGCTGGCCGTCGCCGTCGCGTGGCTGTCGCCGTCGAGGCCGCCGAGGCCGCTTGGCCGTCGTGCCCTTCGTGGCCGTCGCCGTCGTGGCCACTGTCGCGGCCGACTTCGTGGTCGCGGTGGTCGTCGTCGGCTGCGTCGTCACCTGTCTTTCTCCTGGGACCCCGAGGGGAAATAGACGATGAGGAGGAGGAGGAGGAGGATGAGGACGGAGAGGACTTGGAGGAGGATGATGGCGCCATGATGCAGCGTGTGGGGCAGGATGATGTAGAGGTCAGGAGAAAATGCTCGAGGCGTAGTATGATCAGGATAGCATTGAGTTTGTCGAGTCAGATATTTCGAGGGATGGGGAATACATCAAGACAATGACTGTGTGCTAAGGGTCGTTGATGGTAATGCTGTTGATCAGTATATTGCCGACTATGCTTGTTTTGGCGATGATGGTGATGTTGTCGATGATGATGGCGACGACGATGACGATGATGATGCTGACGATGATGCTGATGATGCTGATGATGGAGGCGGTGATGATGATGTTGATGGTACTTGTGTCGATGGTGATGGTGATGGTGGCGATGATGACGAGGCTGGTCGCGGTGGCGATTCCGATGATGACTGTCTTGATGATGATGTTGTTGATGATGCTGATAGTGATGCTGGTGATGGCGATGGTGGTGACGATGATGATGATGGTGATGATGCTGATGATGATGATGATGATGATGCTGATGATGATGATGATGAGATGGTGATGATGATGCTGATGGTGATGAGGATGATTCTGGCGACGGTGGCGTACATGATGATGCTGATGATGCTGATGGTGATCATGCTGAGTATGATGCTGATGCTTATGATGCTGATGATGTTGCTTAAGCTGATGACGATGATGATGCTGATCCTGATGATGATGCTGATGATGCTGAGGCCGATACTTATGTTGGTGACGGCACTGATTGAGATGATGACGATGATGATGATGATGATGATGATGGTGATCATGTTGATGCTGATGTTGCTGCTGCTGATGGTGATGATGCTACCGATACTGCTGCTGATGCTGCTGCTGATGCTGCTGTTGATGATTATGATGATGATGCTGATGATGACACTTATGATGTTGATGATGATGCTGATGACGATGCTAATGTTGATGAAGATGATGCTGCTGATGATGCTGATGGTGATGATGTTGATGATGCTGATGATGCTGACGATGACGATGATGTTGATGATGCTCATGATGATGTTGATGATGATGATAAATATGATGATGATGATGACGATTATGATAATGACAGTGATTATGGTGGTGCTGATGCCGTTGATGACGACGTCGACGTCGTTGTCGTCGACGGCGACGTCGATGTCGACGACGACGACAACGACGGCGAGGGGGAGTATTTAGTACTCTGGGGTCCGTGCCTCCTACCTCGCCGACGCTGACGCACTGAGTGACGCACAAGGAGGTGACGGGGTAGGGGAAAGGGGACGAAGGGACGAGGGGCCAGCTCTGTTCAGAGGTACGCCGGCAGCCGCCGCCGCCAGCATCCCGCTAGTCGTCGGCCCCGCCTCGGACTTGCCGAACTCGTGCTTCAACTTCTCCCGAACCAGGAACGCACTCAGCGGATCACCAGGAACCCTGCCAAGTCGAGATCGCGAGCACTCCTGAACGATGCAAGCGCCTTTGCCGGTCAGCGGCTGGCCAGGGGCATGATTGAGAGATCCGTCACGCCACACCAGACCCCGTTAGCAGCGGGAAGTGTCCATGCGCCACAGTCAAAATCATGCTCAAGCAGTTTCCTAACCCTAAGGACCCGCCGAATCGTCAGCACATGTGGGAAGCTTAAAGTCGTCGAATGCGCCACAGCGGATCGCCGAGTCCAGACGACGAATGGCCCATTTGCTGACAAGAGACAGGGCAGATATAAAGGTCCAACACAACAACCTCTGAAGAAGGAGGGCCGCCCCCGAGCCATTGGGAGTCTGACTGGAAGTCCGTGAAGAAGAAGAAGCGCAGACCGACGAGGCCGACAAACCCGCAGCGGCATGACCAGCATTAGGGAGAGCACAGCTACGACCATTGCGCCAATCACATTCTGGTTCCTAAGTGGCATCACAAAGCCGCTGATCGAGCACAGCGAAGTCAACATTACGAGCCCCCCCGACCTTAGACGTAGCATTCAGCCAGGCACCGACTCCCAGATGATCAGGCGACGGTCACAATGCGCTTGTGCAAGAGCTCCAGCAGCTGCATCACGGGGAAATCCAGATAGAACGTCGTGAACATGTGCGTGTTCAGCACCGCCTTCAAGACCGTGCCACTCGCCCAGGCCTCCTCCAACCCCGCGGCCCTCGCAGACAGCCACAGGCACAAAAGGCACGGCCTAGAGAGTGGTCAGACTGTTGGGCCTCGTCGAGCTCCTTCTGCAGGTGCTTAATGGCTCGGTCAGCCGGCTACCGCTTTACGCTCGGGAGCGGAAAGCCAGGCGCGCCTGCCATCGGCACCCATACCGCGGCCACCATTCCTCTCCCAGCGCGGCAAAACAGACAGCAGACAGCGTGACCGCAGCGCCACGGAGCCGCTATGCCCCATTAAATCAAGATGCGAGGGGAGCGGCCTGAGCCAAGATGGCCACGGATGACGAGGATTGGGAGGAGGAGGAGGAGGAGGAGGAATAATGATAATACTGAACGGCCAGCACTGCGTAGAGGGCAAGGGACGTACAGCCGGACTTCATTGGACAGGACACGCGAGAGGACACAAGACCCTTCCGAGGTCCACATTGCCATAGGAATGCAGGAGGCACGGGTCGCGAGACACAGGACACATAGGTACCCTTGATTTGGCAGGGTCGACCTACTAATCTGGGCCGACTGTAGAGCGAGGAAGACACGGATTATTTTGCTGAATACGATGTTGATGTTGATGTTGATGTTAATGTTGATACAGATGTTGATGATATTGATGTTGATGATGATGCGGAGGAGGAGGAGGAGGAGGATTATGATGATGATGTTGATGATGATGACGATGTTGCTGCTGATGCTGATAATGCTGCTGGCGATGACTACGACGAAGAAGCGGCTGCTGACGAGTATGTTGAGGATGGGAAGAGCGACGGAGATACTAATGACGCTGATGATGACGATGCTGCTGGCCATGATGCTTATGATGATGCTGATGCTGATGTCGCTGCATTTGGTGATGCTGATGATGCTGATGATGCTGATGATGATGACGTTGATCATGGTTATGGTACGGCACGAATGCAACTCGTAATACTGATACTGATGCGTTGGTGATGACTATGATGACGACGATGGTGATGATAGTGGTGGCGAGGATGCTGATGAGGATGACGATGGTGCTGATGACGGTGGTGGTGGTGGTGGTGCTATTGACGACGATGATGGTTATATCCAGGATGAAGTTGATGATGATGTTGATGCTGGTGATGATACTGATGCTGATGATGATGCTGATGGTGATGGTGATGATGATGCTGGTGCTGCTTTCGATGATGCTGATGCTGATGTGGGCGGCGTTTACAACTATAATCCTGATGGTGATGATGATGCTGGTATTGATGATGCTGATGATACTGTTGATGATTATGCCGATGATGACGATGACGATGCTAATGATGATGAGGCTGACGATGATGCTGGCGATGACGATGAGGCTGACGATGATGCTGGTGATGCGGCTGCTGCTTATGATGAGGATGATGATGCTGATGGTGATGATGCTGCTGATGATGATGATGACGACGTTCATGCTGATGCTAACGATGCTGTTGATGTCTGTGATGATGTTGCTGCTGCTGATGATGCTGACTCTCATGTTGCTGATGTTGATGCTGATTACGTTTATGATGCTGACGACGACGTGGCGGTGACGAGGATAAGGGAGGCCTATGATGATGATGCTGCTGCTGATGAGGATGATGATGAGAAGGAGGAGGAGGAGGACTATGATGAGGATGCTCATGATGATGATGATGCTGATGATGATGATGATGATGATGATGATGATGATGATGATGACGACGATGATGATGATGATGATGCTGATGATGATGATGCTGATGATGCTGATGGTGACGACGATGATGATGGTGGTGGTGGTGGTGATGATGCTGGTGCCGATGAGGAGTGTGTGGACGATGAAGGTGGTGGTGGTGATGATGCTGACGATGTTGCCGATGCTGCTTTTGTTGTTGGTGATGATGAGGAGGGGGACGAGGGGGAGGAGGAGGGGGCGGAGGAGCCGTACAGGCATGCGCGTTCCCCCCCTCCAGAGGCCGACGAGGGCTCGTGGAAGCTCCTTGACGACTGCCTGCTGAAGTTCGTCCCGACGCGGCTGGAGCCGCCCCCCAGGCGGCGGAGGATACCGCAGGCCAGATTGTTCCCTCCTGCTCATTCCCTCCCTTGTCCTTCCCCCCGCTCCCCCCCCCCTCCCCGCCCCCTCCCCTTTCCTCCCCCTCTCGCCCCCCCCCCCCCCTCCCCCTCCCTCCTCGCTCCGCTCCCCGCCCCCTCCCCCTACCCCTCCCGCCTCGCCCCCGCTCCCGCCCCCCTCCCTGCTCCTTTCCCTCCTCCTTGGCCCCGCGCGGGAGCCCTCGCCCGTGTGACGGGTGCTGGGGGGTGTCCCCGCCTCCGAGTCGGGCAGCGCCTTCGTCCACCTCCTCCTCCTCCCTCCTCCTCCTCCTCCCCTCCTCCCCTCCCCCCCCCCCTCCCTTGACGAACCAACAACACACACCCATTACGTTACACCTTCGGGGGACCTCGGTTGTTCCCTAAAGTATGGTTTGTTCTTGTGCCCGACGCGGGCTCGATGCAGTTTCGACGCAGATTTGGCGTGGTTTCGACGCGGATTCGACGTGGGTTCGACGCGGATTCGACGAGTCCGACATGGATTCAACACGGATTCGACGCGGATAGGGGCGCGATTGGGCAGACAAGGTCCCCCGAAGATGCAACATAACACCCATACCCATAGGGGGATCGGAGAGGGTTACGGGTGCGTGTTGTCGGATGGGGGTCCCCGCTCGAACGGGAGCGTTCCCCAGGGTCCGACAACCCGCACCCACACCCACAGCCAGTCCTCCTCCCAACGACCCCCCTATGGGTATGGGTGCGTGTTGTCCGTTCGTCATCCCTCCTCCCCCCTCCATCCTTATCCCTACAGATGACTCCTCCCTGTCGCACCCCGAGGCCTGTCGAGAGGGCTGGCCTGGCGATTCGCCCGAGACTTCCTCACCGTTTATGACCCTGATGCTTGAGCGTTGACAACCTTTTCACACATGGAGGGTGGGTTTGCAAACTGTGGCTCTCACCGTAGCGCCGCGTATATATCGTTTTAAACGTGTGCAAGAGTTTCACGGATTGAGGGCGGGTGGTTTTCAGAATGTGGCTCTCGCGTTAGCGCCGCACGCATTCGTTTTAAGCAGTTGCAATCGTTTCATTGATTGAGGGCGAAACGCCTTCAACACGTGGCTCTAGCCTTAGCGCCGTGCGCACTTCTTTTTCATTTTTGCAAGCGTTTCACGGATTGAGGGCGGGTCGTTTTCAAGATTTTTTTTTTTTTTTTTTTTTATGCACTAGCGCCGCGCACATTCGCTGTACCAAGTTCAAGAACATCATGGGTTAAGTGGAGGTCTGCAAAACTGGTTCTTGCCATACCGCCGCGCACATTAGCTTTCAAATTTGCCAATTGTTTCATCACATTGATGGCGGGTCGGTTTCAACATGTGGATCTCGCTTAACGCCATGTACATTCGTTCCAAAACTAAGCCATAGTTTTTCTGAAGTTCATGGTGAACGTGTCAGACATTGCGTTCTAGAGCGTTTCATGATTGTCAGGACGCAACAGTTACCTTGATTGCGGTGTGAAATCCAGGGGCGGTGTCCTGGCACGGTTTCAAGATCGCCAAGACGTGACTGTCTGGTGAATTCGTGACGTCGAAGCCTTGAGAACGGTGTTTTGGCACGCTTCAATATGCTCACCCGATTGTCCCCCAACGGGGCACTTGGAGGGGGGGGGGATGTTCCAACATCGTTGATGAGTCTTGGGTTTGCAATGGTTCTTTTCCTCCTCCCCCACCTCCCCCCCTCCTCCATCCTCCTCCTCCTCCTCCCTCTCCTCCTCCTCCTCCCTCCTCCTCCTCCTCTCCTCTCCTCCTCCCCCTCCTCCTCCTCCTCCTCCTCCTCCTCTCTCCTCCTCCTCCTCCTACCTCCTCCTCCTCCTCCTCCTCCTCCTCCTCCTCCTCCTCCTCCTCCTCACTCCTCCTCCTCCTCCTCCTCCTCCTCCCCCCCCTTCCCCTTCCCCCGCTTTACCAGCAGGGAAGCCAGCTTCCGTGGCAGCACGCCCAGCTCCCTCTTCCCCTGGGTTCGCGGCCACACCGTGGTTGCCAGCGAACTCCGGCGAGTTCCTCCACCCCCTATCACCCCTCTCCTCCCCGCTCCCCCCCTTGCCCCTCCCCTCTCCTCGCTCTCCCTCGCTCCCTCCCTCCTCTCTCTCTCCCCTCCCTTCCTCCTCCTCCTCGCTCCTCGCTCCCTCCTCCCTCCCTCCCTCGCTCCCTCCCTCGCTCCCCTCCCCCTCGCTCCCTCGCTCCCCCTTTCATAGAGGGGCCCCCCCCCCCCCCCGCAGCAGAGGATCGCCCGCCCATCGAGGAGCGGCCGCCCGCCCCGGCGGCGCCCCGGGCGGACTCCGACCTGCCAGGCCCCGCGGGCCTCACGGGCCCGCCGTCGGAGCGGTCGTCGTCGTCGTCGTCCTCGTCGTCGTCGTCGTCGTCGTCGTCGTCGTCGTCCTCGTCGTCGTCGTCGTCGTCGTCGTCGTCGTCGTCGTCGTCGTCGTCGTCCTCGGCCTCGTCCTCGTCCTCGTCCTCGGCCTCGGCCCCCTCCCCCTCCCCCTCCTCCTCCTCCTTTTCCTCCTCCTCCTCCTCCTCCTCCTCCCTCGCCTCCTTCTCCTCCCCCTCCTTTGTCCATGCTGTTTTTTGGGTAATCCTCCTCCTCTTCCGCCCATGCCCTCGCTCGACGAGAAGGCGGGGATGAAGGAGGAAGAGTAGGAGGAGCAAGAGTAGGAGGAGGAGGAGTAGGAAGAGGAGGAGGAGGAGGAGGAGGAGGAGGAGGAGGAGGAGAAGGAGGAGGACGAGTGGATGGAGGAAGGGAGGGATGGAAGGAAGAGGGAGGGAAGGATGAGCAGGTGGAGGAGGAGGAAGCCTGCCAAGCTCGGGCCCAGCCCCTCGAGGCCCACCTGCCGCCGCCCCGCCCCCGGACGCGAAGCTGCACGGGCCCCCGCCGGCTGCCGATGGGGGCGGCCGAAAGCTCGGCCGAGCCGAGCCGACGTCGGAGGAGGGCCAGGCTGGCAAGCGTCCCTCGGGGGTGGACAGAGCACCCCCAACAGTGACGCGTCGATTGCTCCAGATTTCGTAAGAAAAAGGGAGGGGGTCTGGGCCCTCCAAGACAAGCCGTCTCAGACCTCCCCCGTGGTGAGAACCCTCCGAGACATCGTCCCCAGACCCCCCAGGCCCTCCAAGATAGCCTGGAAGGGCCCCCCCCCGAAATGAGACCCCCCTTCCTTTATTACGAAATCTGGAGTAGTGAGTTGTCCGTTTTCGGTTCTCGAGAGGGCGCCGTGGCCGTCATTTTCCAGGCCTGCGTCCGCCAGGCTTGGGCCTCGGGTCGTTTTCCCTAAACCACGTTTTACTAAAGGGGGGTCTGTCCATCCCCGAGTCACGAGCGCTTCCCATATCCGTGTCCGCGTTCGCGTGGCCTGGATTCCGGGGCGCGGCCCCACGGGCACGCGCGGCCGCGGGGGCTCGTTCCGTGCGGGGCGTCCGCGGAGCGTCGCCCCGTGGCCGCGGCCCGCGCGGCCAGGCCTCGGAGGCCGCGGGTGTGGTGTGCTCTTCGCCCACGGGGGCGGCGGCCGCCTTCGCAGTTCGTCTTGTCTTGGCATCGCTCGGACGTGTGCATTTTTCCTTCGGCGAGGACCATCGAGGAGCATCCTTGATCACTTGGCGAAACAACCACGCGCGGAACCGAACAAAAACACAGGGAATGGGCGTCCGAGCGATGGCCCGTTGTGTGGGCACCACGGGGGGTTCTCGTTGCCACGGCCCGGATCTGCCTCGACAGGGAGCTGGGCGTGGGCGCCGGGAGGGGCCCAGGGACTTATCTTCACCACCCACCAAACCACCCCAACCCAACCCGAAGGCCTCAATTTGCCCTCCATTTCCAGTGGGGGGGGGTCGGGGAACATTGAAAAAACACATGGAACCCGTACCCCCCCCAACCCGAAATTCGGGTCAAATTCGGGCCTTCGGGTTGGGTTGGGGTGGTCTCGTAGGTAGTCATTGTTGTCTCATGTGGTCCTCCTCCGAGCGTAGCGGCTTAGCGCCGCTCGTCGTCGTCGTCGTCGTCGTCGTCGTCGTCGTCGTCGTCGTCGTCAGACTCGGCGCTCGGTGCTCGGCGCTCGGTGCGGGCGAAGGGGCCCCGGACGGGGACGAAGAGGAGGCGGGGGCTTCCTCGCCTCCCTCCCTACCCCCGTCTCGCACTCCTTCCCAATTCCTTCCTCATCCCTCTTCGTCCCTCCTCCCTCCGCCCTCCTCAGTTCCTCGTCTCGTCCCTCCAGCCCCCCTTCTGTCTTCCTTCTTCCTCCTCCCTCCCTCCGCCGTCCGTCCCTCCCTCCTCCCTCCTCCAGGAGGGGTCCTCCTCGTCCCTCGTCCAGGAGGGGAGCCGCCAGAAGGAGACCATTCTTCGTCCACAAGTGAGTCTTCCGCGTCCTCCCTCCTCCCTCCTCCCTCCTCCTCGTCCGTCGTTCTTCTTGCTTGTTTCCCCCAGTTCTTCTGTTCGCGCCGCCCAGGGCAGAGATCAGATATCGTTGCGTCCGACGGCTGCGTCCCTAGGTGAGACGCGCTCCCCGGTTGAGGCCCCCAAGGCTGGGCCGCCGCCGCCGCAGCCGTCGAGGACAGCTGCGGATACGCCGTCTGGGTTGTCTGGCACAGGCCAGCGCGGACCCCTCCAGAGGAGAACGAGAAGGAGGAGGGTGAGGAGGAAGAGGAGGAGGACGAGGGAGGATGAGAAGGAGGAAGAGGAGAAGGAGGAGGAAGAGGAGGAGGAGGAGGAGGAGGAGGAGAAAAAGGAGCAATAGGAGGAGGAGGAGGAGAGAGGAGGAGGAGGGAGGAGAGGAGGAGAGGAGCAAAGGAGGCGGAGGAGGAGGAAGAGAGGAGGAAGAGGAGGAGGAGGAGGAGGAGAGGAGAGGAGGGAGGAGAGAAACGGGCCAGAAGGAAAGGAGGAGGATGAGGAGGAGGAGGAGGAGGAGGAGGAGAAGAGGAAGCAGGCGGAGAGGAGGAGGAAGAGGAGGAAGCAGGAGGAGGGGCGGAGGAGGAGGAGGAGAGGGAGGAGGAGGAGGGAGGAGGGAGGGGAGGAGGGGAGGAGTAGGAAGAGGAGGAGGAGGAGGAATACGAGGAGGAGGAGGAGGAGGAGGGGGAGCAGGAGGACGAGTGTAAAACCAAGACTCATCAATGAAGTTGGAATGCACGCTCCTTCGATGGTCCCTCTTCATAGGCCCCTACACTGAAGGAAGTGCGCTGGTGGGGGACATCCGTCTGAAAATTCTAACGCATGCCAAACACACTATTTTCAGAAGGTCAACACCACGAGCCAATCTGTCTGTTGCGTCTTGACGAGTGTGAATAGTGCCAGAACACCATTTCTGGGAGTTGAGCACCACGACCTAACGTCACTGTTGCGCCCTGACAATCTTGAATCATTCCAAAGCACCATGTTTAGAATGCCCACCATGAGAGTCCGTGAACCTCGTGCACTTTCTGAAGACACACGCCAAGGCGGGAGCCACGTTTTGAACAGGAATTGCCTTCGAGGGTAAAGACGAGACGGATGAGGAGAAGGATAGGGCAGGCCGGGGAGGATGAAGCGGAACTGCACAACGATGTTGAGGAGTACATGTTGCATGCTTTTCCTTCTTCTCCTCTTACTCCTCCTCCTCCTCCTCCTTGTCACTATCCTGCTATACACACTCCTTGTTCCGCTCTTATCACCACTCGTCGTCATCATCACTTCTCTCCTCCTCGTATGCCACCTATGGAAGGCGGGGGGCGGTATGGGAGGAGGGGGAGGAGGAGTGGTATCTGGGGAGGACGAGCAGGATTTTGATGATGATGAGGTTCAGGAGGTGCTCGTCTTCTTTCTACTGCCCCACAGTATCATCACCCTCATCACCGCCATCATTCTTTCACTCGTGCTCTTCCCCATGTCTTTCCTATAAGAGGAGACGGGGGGAGGGATAAGGACGAGAACTGACTCCTGAACCTCATCATCCTCTGTATCTCTCTCGTAACTTCTCTTCCTCCCTCTCCTCATTCCTCGCCCTTCCGTAGCCTCCCTCCTTCTCCGCCTGTTGCAGGAAAGATATGGGGAGGAGTAGGCGTGATAGAAATATTCGGAGGAGGAACGGGAGGATTATTGGGAGCCAAAGGAGGCGAAGGAGGAGGATAGGGGAAGGAGGAGGATAGAGAAGGAGGACGAGTGACTCCTCAACCTTCTCCTTCTCCTGCTTCTCCTCCTCGTCGTCGTCCTCCTCCTCCTCCTCCTTGTTCTCCTCCCACTCGGCTTCCCCGTTCAGGGTGGATTCATTGAACACTATGGGGACCTGCAAAACAAGCAAATCTGAAGAAGCGCAATCCTGTTTTTTCCGCCCCTCCCCCCTCCCCTTTCCCCACAGAGATTTCCCTCGTTTTTTCCGGGAAAGGGCGTCGGCCCAGGTTTCTCTTTTAGGATGGTAATTTGTCCCCCGAGCCAATTTCGAAGAGGGCTGGCGGATTAATGTGCGATTAATAACGATGTTGAAGAGGGCTGGCGGATTACATTTTGAGAATGTCCCGAGCGAAACGCTAGTTTTTGAAATTCTGATTGATAAACACATGTGAAAGTTAACATGTTCGTTTGTTGCGGATGTCTCGAGCGAAACGCATGAATTGCAGAATTCGTTGAGGATGCCTCGAGCCAAACGGTTGTTGCTCCTCTCCTGGGGGCCATCATTCAGAGCATGTCTCAAGCGAGATGCTTGTTTTCACATGCCCAGGTCGCCCAGGGGGTATTTAACATGGCTGTCCCCAGATGGAACCACATGTTTTTACGCGTCCAGGCCACCCAGGGGGGTATCTAAGATGGTGGTCCCGAGCTTGAACCATGTGCTTTCACGTGTCCAGGCCACCCATAGGGGAATCTAACATAGTGGCCCCGAGCTGGAACCAGGTGTTTGCACGTGTCCAGGCCACCCAGATGGGTATCTAACATGGTTGCCCGCGCTGGAAGCAGTTGTCTTTACGTGTTCGGGCCACCCACGGCGGGATATCTGACGTGTGGTCGTTTGGGAGATCCCAGCGCGGAGGGGTCCACGCAAGAGCCAGACAAAATCAACACATCCATGCTAAATGTGTAATGACTTGACATGGTTTCTTCAGCTGGTGGTTTTCCAGATTTCCCCCCTGGGGCATCTAACATGGTGGCCCCGAGCTGGAAGAACGTGTTTTCACAAGTCCAGGCCACCCAGGTGGATATCTAACATGGCGGCCCCGAGCCGGAGCCACGTTTTTACACGTGCCCAGGCCACCCAGGGGTATGAAACATGGTGGCACCGAGCTGGAACCATATGCTTCCACGTGCCCAGCCGCCCAGAGGGATATTGATTCAACCAGAGAAACACTCCAACCAGTGGATGGTTTGGAGACTCGTGAGATCGATTGTGAGATCGATAGTGAGACCGATAGTGGGACCGATAGTAAGGACGATCGTAAGGTCGATCGTGAGACCGATTGTTTAATCGATTCAGCGAGATCGATCGTGCGACTTCTAGTGGGATCGATTTGTGAGATCAATAGTGAGCTGGGCAGTGAGATCGATGGAGAGACCGATCGATAAGGAGGTCGACCAAGAACATGGGAACCTGGAAACCCGGGAACCCCGCCGCCCACCGAAATCGGTCGGGCACCAGTAACCGGGAACCTGGGAACCCCGAGCCGGGGGGACCCGGGAATCCAGCCGCCCACCGAACTCGGCCTCGCATTTTCGCCAGATCTTTCAATCTATTTCGCCAAATGTCTTTCAATTTCAAATAGGACCCGTTCAGTGCAAAAACTTATTGGGGAACGTGGTGGTCCGAGCTGGAGCCATGCGTTTTCACGTGTCCAGGCCACCCAAGCGGGGATATCTAACCGGGTTGTCCCGCGCTGGAACCGCGTGTTTTACTTGTCCCCACCCAGGGGGGAATCTAACATGGTGGTCCCGCGCTGGAACCACGTGTTTTGACGTGTCCATGCCGCCCAGGGGTGGGTATCTGAGATGTTTGCCTTTGGCCCCTCGCTGGAACCACGTGTTTTCACTTGCCCAGGCCACCCAGAGGGGTATCTAACATGGTGGTCACGAGCTGGAGCCACGTGCTGTCACGTGTCCAGGCCACCCAGATGGGTACCTAACATGGTGGTCCCGCGCTGGAGCCACGTGTTTTCACGTGTCCAGACCACCCAGGAAAATATCTAACATGGTGGCCCCGAGCTGGAACAAGTGTTTTGCGTGTCCAGGCCACCCAAAGGGGTGGTATCTAACATGGGGGCCCCGAGCCAGAACCATGTTTTTTGGCGTGTCCAGGCCGCACAGACGTTGATATCCAAGACGGTTGCCTCTTGCCCCATCGCTGGAATCGCGTGTTGTCACGCGCCCAGGCCACCCAGAAAGGTATCTAAAATGGTGGCCCGAGGTTGGAACCGTGTGTTTCCACGTGCCCAGGCCATCCAGAGGGGTATCTAACATGGTGGCACCGAGCTGGAACCATTGGTTTTTACGTGCGCGGGCCACCCCAGGGGGGACATCTAACCTGCGGTCGGCTGGGTTCCCCCAGCGTGGGGGTCCACAGGAGCCAGCCAACACCAATCAATCAACACCAGATGTGTAATGTCCTTCGGCTGGTGGTTTTCCAGAGTTCCCACTGGGTATCCAACAATGTGGCCCCGAGCTGGAACCGCGTGTTGTCACGTGTCCAGACAATCCAGTTGGATATCTACGGCGATATCCAGGCCACTGAACCTCCTGCAGTTTTTTTACGGCCGATGTGCGCGGCGACAAGCGAGAGCCAGATTTTTGAAAACCACCCGCTCTCAATTTGTACGTCAAGCTTCTGCATTTCTTAAGACGAATGCGCGCGGCGAAAAGGCAAGAACCACATTTTGAAAACATCCGCCCTCAATCCGTGAAGGTCTTACAATCTCGCAAGAAGAATGCACGCGGCGCTTTTGCGAGAGCGACATTTTGAAAACCATCCGCCTTCAATCTGTGATGTTTTTGTGAAGTTTTAGGACGGTTGTGCGCGGCGTTAAGACGAGAGCCGCATGTTGAAAACCACCTGCCCTCCATCTTTGAATCTGTTACCAGTATATCAGCTTAAGGATTTGTAATGAAGCTCCAGGCGAAACGCCGGCCCGCCTTTTCGACTGGCCTCGGGGTGCGACAAGGAGTAGTTATCCATGAGGGGAGAAAATTGATAAGGAGGAGGCGGAGGAGGAGGCGGAGGAGGATGAGGGCCAGTGTAAACCAATAACCATCAACGATGATGGAATGAACCCTCCCCCCAAGCTCCCTCTTCACGGGCTCCTACAAGGTTTCATTTCCACTGGGAACTGCCCCGTTGGAAGACAACCGTTTGAAGACCCTGAAGCATGACAAAAAATTGTTCTCGGGGTTCCAACGCCACGGATCAACTGGACTGTTGCGTTTTTGGTGACCTTGAATCGCACCAGAACGCCATTCCTGGGACTTCAGCGCCGCGAATCAACGTAACTGTTGCACCCTCGTAATCTTGAGTTCTCCCCTAAACATTCTTTCTTGTACGCTGATCATGGGGATCCGTGGAACTCTTGCAACATTGGAAACGATTGTGCGCGGTGCTAAGGCGAGGGCCACATTTTGAAAAGGAACCGCCCTCTATCCGTGAAGCTCTTGCAATGTTTAAAACGATTGTGCTTGTCGCTAGGGCGAGAGCCACATTTTGAAAACCACCCGCCCTCAATCCGTGAAAGTTTTGCACATTCTCAAAAAAGAATGAGCAGCGCTAAGGCGAGAGCGACTTTTGGAAAACCGCTCTCAATCCGTGAAGCTCTTGCATATTTGAAACGATTGCGCGCGGCGCCACGGCGAGTGCCGCATTGTGAAAACGGCCCGCCCTCCATCTGTGAAGCCGTTGCTGGCTTCTGAGCTTCAGGGCCATGAATCGTGAGGCAGTCTCAGGCGAAACGCCCGGCCCGCCCTAACAATTGGCCTCGGGGTGCGACAGGGGGTTTCGGGGGTGGACAGAACCCCTAACAGTGACACGTCGATTAGTGAATTGTCCGTTTTCGGTTCTCGAGAGGGCGCCGTGGCCGTTATTTTCCAGGCTTGCGCCCGCCGGGTTTGGGCCTCAGGTCGTTTTCACTAAACCACGTTTTACTAAAGGGGGGTCTGTCCATCCCCGAAAGTTATGGATAAGGGAAGGAATGGATGGGAGTGTCGCCGCCGTCGCCGGCCAGCAGCAGGCGGCACTGGCGGCCCAGACGGCGACCCTGGCGAGCCCGGTGGCCAGAAGGACCTCGGGGGGCGCGGGGGCGCGCTGCAGGGCAAGGCCTTTCAATCGGAGAAGAAAACCTCGGGGGGTGCTGGACCCTCAGCGCGCCAGGGACGGGGGTCCAGCGCAGATCCAAGAAATCCGTGCGGAACGTCAAGTGTGTGTGTGTGTTTTTCTTCTTCTTCTTCTTGTTCACAAGGGGGTGAGGGCTTTGGTATGCGGGCTTTTCTCTCGCGAGTCAACCGCGTCGCTGTTGTCGGTTTGATGTTGACATTGCGCCCTTGCGCGCAAAAGGATTCAGTCTACCTTTGAGTTTTCAGAATGTGATAGCGACTTTCGCGCTCTCATCGCTGCTGTTTCGACTCTCGGGGCGTTGGCCGTTGGCCACATGGGGCGGCTGAGGTTATCGCCCGTGCTCTTTTCTGTTGGTGTTGTTGTTGAATGTTAATTCTTAAACAATTATAATTGTTGGACTCCCTCGAGGCGCTTTGGCGCTCTCGCCTCGGCGCCGGCTACATTGTCATTGACAATGAGGCTCACGCTCGAGCGGTTTGGGGGGGGCCAAAACTAGCCCCCCAACAACATCAACGCTTCCGCTCGAGACTTCCTCCTTTTTTGCTCAGGGCCGGTGCTCTTGCTCGCCGCCGAAAGCCGCCGTCCCAACAGAACCAACGTTACCGCTCGAGACTTCCTCCCGTTTTACATTGGACTGGCGCGCTACTCTTTCTCTCATCGGCGCCGCCCCCAGCAAGAACAACGCTCCCGCTCGAGGCTTCCTCCCTTACTCAAGGTGGTGCTCCTCCTCGCCGCCGAAAAGCGCCGTCCCGACAAAACCAGCTTTCCCGCCCGAGACTTCCTCCCGTTTTACGCTGGAATGGCGCCCTACTCTTTGTTAAATTGGCGCCGCTCCCAGCAAGAACAACGCTTCCGCTCGAGACCGCCTCCCTTTTTCATCAGGACGGTGCTATTCCTCGCCGCCGACAGCCCCCGTCCCGACAAAACCGCGTCTCCTTTGAGACTTCTTCTTTTCTTACTCAAGGCGATGTGCTTCCTCACCGCCGACAGCCGTCGTCCCAACAAAACCAGCGTTCCCGCTCGGGGCTTCGTTTTGTTTTATGCTGGACTAGCGCCCTGCTCTCTTCAGCATTGGCGCCCCTCCTAGCAACAACAACAATAGCGGCCCTGCTTGAGATTTCCTCCCTTTCTATTCAGTGCCTCGCCGCCGACAGCCCCCAACCCCACTAAGGCAATCCTGTCATTCGATACTTCCTTGTGCTTTACCCTTGGCTGGGGCTCCACTGGTGGTCTCGCATCGGCGCAGCAAAGCGCGGGCATGCGTTGTCGAGGCGGGATATGTCAACATTCCTCGGAGGACGTGTTTGCAATACCTGCTATAGAACAAGAGTTCCCCATCATGGGGATGGTTGTCATGATGGTCGCATGCGTCGTGTGGAAACATCGCGCATGAGGGTAAACTGATCGTTGCTGCTGTTGTTGTTGTTATTGTTGTTGTTGTTGTTGTTGTTGTTGTTGTTGTTGTTGTTGAACTCTCACGGCTGAATGCTAATTATTGTTGATCCCCTTCTCCGGTGCATTTTGTATTTTTCCCATTGAAGTGCCCCTTTCGGCGCTCGCAGCTGGTTTTTACTAGGGAAATCTTCGTCCTCAAACTGTGTTGTTGGCCCCCAGGTCACAACAACAACAACGGCTCCTACCTGAGACCTCCTCACACTTATATCCAGGACCCCCGCTCCCGTCCGAGATTTCTTCGCATGTTATTCATGAATCGCGCTCTCCCTTGGGACTTTCTTACAATATATGCAGGAATCGCTCTCTCGGCGCTTTGGAGTCGCGCTTTCGCTGGAGACCGGCTTGCAATTTACTCAAGCATAGAGCCCTTGCGTTGGAATTTCCCTGAATTTGCTCAAGCGCCGCGCTCCCGACATTCAGGCACCCAGGAGTCGCGCTCACGTTTAGGATTTCTTCACAGATTATTTAGGAATCGGGATCTCGCTGCCCTTCGTGGCCCCGTTGCAGCCCTTCGTGGCCCCCTCGCTGCCGTTTGTAGCCCCGTCGCAGCCCTTCGTGGCCCCCTCGCATTGCTTCGTGGCCCCGTTGCAGCCCTTCGTGGCCCCCTCGCTGCCCTTCGTGGCCCCGTTACAGCCCTTCGTGGCCCCCTCGCTTTGCTTCGTGGCCCAGTTGCAGCCCTTCGTGGCCCCCTCGCTGCCCTTCGTGGCCCCGTTGCAGCCTTTCGTGGCCCCATTGCGGTGCTTCGTGGCCTCGTTGCAGCCCTTCGTGGCCCCCTCGCTGCCCTTCGCGGCTCCGTTGCAGTCCGTCGTGGCTCCGTCGCTGCCCTTCGTGGCCCCGTTGCACCCCTTCGCGGCCCCCTCGCTGCCCGTCGTGGCCCCATATATGTATGCCCCTCGTGGTCCCCGCTCATTCGCGCCCGTCGTGGCCCCACGTGCATGCTCTTGGTGGCCCCGCTGTCGCCCTTTGTGGCCCCCTCGCTGTCCTACGTGGCCCAGTTGCTACCCTCAGTGGCCCCGTCATTGCCTTCTGTGGCCCCGCATTATCTGCCCGTCGTGGCCCCCGCTCGTTCGCGCTCTTCGTGGCCCCATACGCATTCCCTTCGTGTTCCCGCTGTCGCCCTTCGTGGCCTACTTCGTGCTCTTCGTGGCCCTGCTGTCGTTCTCTCTCTCGCTCTCGCTTTCGCTCGTCGTCGTCGTCGTCGTCGTCGTCGTTGTCGTCGTGGTCAGTCCTCTGTCCGTCCCTCTTGGGGTCTGGTTGCCGCCGATCAGCGCTGCCGGTGGCCCGGCCGACGGTCCGCGGCCGCCCCGCCGCTTGCCGGGGCCGGTCCTGCAGGGAAGAAAGGTAGTGTGAAGGCCTTTCGGCCGGTGCCGCCGACCCGGAAGGTTTTGGCCGTCGATGGCGACGGGATGTGTGATCACAGGAAGGAGCTAAAGGACAACGTGACGGGGTAGGCGGAGGAAGTGTGCGAGGAGGAGGAGGAGGAGAAGGAGGAGGAGGAGGAGAAGGAGGAGGAGGAGGAGGAGGAGGGAGGAGGGAAAGCGGGAGGAGGACGAGCGAGGAGGAGTTTTTTCAAGGAGGAGGGCAGGAGGAGGAGGAGGAGGAGGAGGGAGGGGGGGGAGGAGGAGGAGGAGGAGGAGGCGTGAGGAGGAGGAGGAGGAGGAGGAGGAGGAAGAAGAGGATGAGGTGGAGGAAGAGGCATAATAATAAGAGTAATAATAAGATTGATAATACAACGACTACTAATAATAATGGTAAGACTAAGAAGAATAATAAGAGTAAGAGTGATCATGATAGGAATAATAATCAGAACACTGATAACAATAATAGTAGTAAGAAACAGGACTACTAATAAGACGAATATGAAGACTACTAAGAGGAATCATCACACGAATCATACTAAAAGAATAGTAACACTAGTAATACTAAGAAGAAACATACTAATACGAACACGAACAACAATAGTGATCGTAAGGAGAAAGCATAAGAATAATACTACGAATCATATGACGAATACTGAGACTAATAATTTGTTACGCTCTTCCTGTTGCCTCTGTCTAATACTAAGACTAAGAAGACTAATA